ACAGATAAGTGTTGCAAAGAAGGGAAAAACAATCTTCAATAGAACGTTTCCTTGTTAGAAAAGGGAGAAAATCAAGCAGAGAGCCACAATCAGGACCTAGTGGTAAGCAGGCAAAACGAAGCAGAGAGAGTACCCCAGAGAAAACATCACTGCCTGATGTGATAATGGAAGGGGCACTCCCTTTCCAAACAATAACACCTCTCCTCCTCCCCTCTCATCACCATCTTCCATACGCCATCAAGGGTCCTCCATAAACGTAAGATAAACGTCTGTACTGTATTGTAGTTAGAAAAAAACAAATGTATTCAGTATAAAATGTTTTTGTAAGTTAATATTTTGGAAGGTGGGGAACGGATTAATTCAATTCCCTTTATTTCTTATGGGAAAAATCGCTTCGACTTACGATATTTCGACTTACGATCCATCTCTGGGAACGGATTACCATCGTAAGTCGAGGCCCCACTGTAGTATGAAAGAGGTTCAACGAGTCCGAGAAAGAACTGGAGGGAAGCTACACCAGAAGTCAACGGACGTTCCAATAATATTGTAAGGATTGAAGAGTTCTGTGAATCCCCGAGAACCAGGAGAATCAAGCACAAGACACGGAGGCACAAATGGGTCCCAACGGCACCCGTGACCAAGGGTCATGCAGGGATCCCGATATGAAAGGAACATGATTGCGACATGGAGAAAAGTGCATGTCCAAGAGAAAAAAGACGAAGAAAGCAGTGAAAAGCACCCACGGGAAGGACAGAACCGACGGACCTGAAGAGAGAGAGAACTGAACCCGGGGAGGGGTAGACACGAACTAACTCGGATGCATTGAAGAAAATGAAAACCCCACACTGAGGAACTGCAAGCTCCACTCCGGGGACACCAAATGTTCATTAGCTTGGGTGAACTGGAGCAAGTACAGACAATAACGTCGCACGACTCTGGGTCAAAAGAATCACCGACCCAACAGGCAGCTTGGCGGCGGCACAGCCAGTGAGTGTCGTCCTAAGACAAAGGGACAGAGCAACCTGTAACTCGCAAGAAGCAAGAGGGAACTAAAGGGTCACATCCACAGGACCATGGAGCCCCTGCAGGGTTTCCCAGGGCCCTTAGCCCTCTTAAACACACTAAGCGAAGCCCAGGCAGGTTACTGCAAACCGGCGCCCAATTCTACCGAACGAACTTCTAAAAGCTGTACCCCGGGACGTGTCCACTCATGGGGGCCTAGTGGGGATACCACCAATACACAGAAGTGAAGAAAATTATACCTACCCCAACAACAGAAAGGGGTAAGGACAGAGGCAGACTCCCCCACCAGGCAGGAAAACAAAAACAAAAGAAAAACCTCGCAAGAGAACAACATACCCAGGTGGAACAGAGTCAGTCGCTATAATAGGTGGTAACTAGCTGTGCAGTACCCCATGCCCCTACCAGTGAAGAAAACTACCTCCTACCCAGAGACAAACAAGACATGCAGCCCGAGTACCATGGAATATTACTCCTGGCTCGCACACCACCTGTAGAGACAGCCCACACCACAAGGCACAGAACTGAAACAAAAACAGGAGCCAGAGGCACACGACTTCTCCAGAATCGCATCAGCCAAGAACTGCCGGTTGGATCGCCGGCGTGGAGGGTCTGGGGCTCCCCCTTTCCCCTCCTGGGAAGGGGCAGGGGGAAGGATTGTGCAGATGTCGGCGCGGTGACGTGATGACGTCATTGCTTGTTTGCTAATTTTCTTTTAGGGAGTTCTGTCCACTCGTTCGGCTTTCAGTAGCAATAGTTTAACCAGAATAGGAGTTTGTTTTGGGACACCTACCATTCTGGGTGTCAAAACACGGTTGATGGGAGACAGAATGCTCCCAACCACATGGGCGTTTCTATAGGCCATTGCTCCTCAACGCCTCTCTGAGGAGGCCAGGTTCTGGTTCGTGGTCCCCAGTAGGCAAGAATTCCATGCACATTGACTGATGCCAGAAAGTTATACGTATCCATTCAGCCTGGATAGCTCCAGGAAGCCGGCGGGATTCCCCCAGAAAAGGCAAACAAAAAAATGCCAGTACGTGAAAGCACACTAAAGCCCCCGGAATTCCACAACAGCAAACAAGCCATCGGAGAAAATCATTGGCCCGCCACTGGATAGCTGAAAAGCAGGCTGCATCAGCCGCAGTGCGCCCTACCAGCCTACAAACACTACCTCACCCTGGGTAAGACGGAAAGCCCATAGCACCCGACACACCCCAAGGGCAAAGACAACCACAAGCGAGGAAGTCCTCTAACGGGGAGCGATTCCTGAACGCCCCAGGGAAGATAACCCTGACCACACAAGGACAGTACATACAGAGCACCTACGGAAGGTGGTCCTAGGCACATGCTGCTCCAGTGCTCGGAAAACTCCTAGCTAAACGCACACATCTATTTATAACACCACTGCAAGGGCAAAAACACCATAGAAAACAGGAACATGGAGCCAGAGTGACAGCGATGACTCGGCACGCATCAGTCAAAGAACTGACTGGTGGGCAGGCCGGCTCCCCCTCCCCCCGCAGGAATGGGCATGGCGCTAACGAGTGGGGGGGGGGGTTAGTTGGATGAAGTTTGTTTGTTTGATTTCTGGGGGAGTTATTTCACACTTGTGAGGACATAGGTCGCACTTTTCAACCAGGCAGTAATGTGGCAGCAATTAGCTGCGCCTACCTTTCTGGGTGCCTTCCTTGGTCGATGGGAAGATGACATACTTTACATGTAAAATGTTCATGGGTTATTGCTCCCTTTGCCTCTCTGAGGGGGCCAGATTCTGGCTCATGGTCCCCGGTAGGCATATAAAGAACTCTGCGACTGAGGACACTCGAGTAGTATGGCACTTATTCAGTAAGATAGCTTCAGGAAGCCGATGGGGGGCTCCCCACACAAAACATCTTTACCTACTTTAGCTGCTCTATTTTTAAGCAAAGCATGCAGCACTTGCTGACATTAGGAGTCACAAAGCTTTGTTGCACGGCCCCAACAAGAATCTGACATTTGTCACTAAAAATTTCAAGCCTCTTTCAACAATTAGAAATTTCATCCCGAGTATTTGAAGTCTTGTTTACCTTTATGTTATTTAATACAGTAGTGACTAACCCATCATTTCCCAAAACTTATCCACTTTCTCTGGTGAAGTTACTCCATAGAAGCTGGAAAAAAAATTCATAACCACTCTTTTTGCACATTTTTTCAAACTACTCATTACTCTTTCTGTATACTGTACTTTTAACACAAATTGGATGTAATTCACATGGTTATACTGTAATATGTTTATAATTTATATATACAGTATATATGTTTATGTTTTCATTTAATTGAGCTTCCTACCATAGCCATAATACACATCATATTATCGCTCGATATCACTAAGTTTCCCAAGGTAAATGAGATGTAATAGGTCAATAAAGCCTTATACAGTAGAACCACAATTCAGCGAGTCTCCGGTTAGATCGCACACTTTTCAGGCTGGATTTACTAACCTGATTCCACGAGCTCATTTGCTGAAGCAGGGTATTTGCGGATTAGCTTAGGATGTTGGGACAGATTTTACAGATTGGTGGAAAAGTTGCCCATGACATATGATGTTAAAATTAAAGATTCCCTTAGTGAAATCAGCCCAAAGAGCATGGGAAATAATTTATTAACTCAATGCATTGGGAGACAAACAGCCATATTATACATACGTATAGTACATGTTAGGCTTATTTTGACATCCCCCCCCCCCCATGAGTACTGACCGTTCCCAAGATGCAACCCAACAAGCTGACTAACTCCTGGGTACCTCTTTACTGCTAGGTGACCAGGTCCATTAGGCGATAGGAAATGCACCCAACCATCTCTGTCCCACCTGGGATTCGAACCTAGAATTCTCAACCGAGAGTCAAGAATGAACCCGACTTTACTACCGGGACTCTCTATAAATATGAGGGTATTAATAATAGCACTCTTAATAGGGCTCCAATCACCTTTTTAATGAAGACTAAACCACACACCAGAAGATGAGGAGACGATGACGTTTCAGTCCGTCCTGGACCATTTTCAAGTCACTCGTCTTCATAATGGTCCAGGACAGACCAAAACATCATCGTCTCCTCATCTTCTGGTGTTTGGTTTAGTCTTCATATCTTCAGCCACATTATTGTGACTGAAGATCTGCACTTTTTTAATGATTTTCATAGACAGATATAAGATTAGAAGAAAGAGCTGGGGCTTTGGGAAAGTCACCGAGCATATTTAAAACAAAATTCCATGGCACTTTTTTTATTTTCTGTTGCCGAAGTTTTTGTTCAGAAAAATATAGGCCAGTCTTCCTTTGAAAATGAGATTTCAAGGCTAGGGGAAAGGGAAATATGCTAGAAATGGATAAATCTCTTTACAGATTGAATCTCTTGGTAGCTGTCCTTCATATGACAGGTTGAAATTAACATTTTGCTCAGTGAAATCAGCATGGGGAATATTAGGATATGAATGCTGTTAATATGGCTCAATCACATTTTTAATGATTTTCATAGATGAATGCAAAATTAGAAGAAAGGATTGGTGCCTTGGGAAAGCCATTTGAGCACATTTAAAACCGAATTCTATAGTTCGTTTTGATTTTGAGATTTCCTGATATTCATTCACAAATATGAGCCTCCTGGAGGTATCTCCAATTACAATGAATCCCTTACTGCAACAAATTGGGGTTGGTCCCATATAGTTCACTGAATTGAGGCTGTACTGTAATTAAACGGCCTACAAAATTGTCCTCTTAATCGCTTCATTCAAACCTTTTCGTATAGCCACTCTAAATACACTATTTTCTTACAACCTTTGAGATACTTTGGTATTTTTTTAATTTGTTGCAGAAACTAACAAAATAAAATTTTTACAGTAAATACAGTAATTAACTTTTTGTAAATTGGCAGATGGCTGCCTCTGTTGCAGAGTATTTAGATGAATATCTTATGTATATACAGTGCTTTAAAACAATATCTTACTTTGGTGGGTAGATAGTGAAGATACTAGTTCCTAGTGTGTTAAAAATCTCAACAGCACCAGAGCTGTATGATACACCAACCATCGAACAGTCTGCAGACCATGCTATGCGTCGCCATGACGGGAAGGGGTCGACAAACACTGAAGAAGAGATACAGTACTTGTAGGCCTAACACAGGTGGCAGTTGACTCAGATACTTAATCTTACTGCATACATCTATGTGTACCAATGCATATTTTGCATTATTGAATAAAAAAAATTGTAGCACTGAAAAAAATAATGGAAAAAAAATTAACACTGAAAGATGACAAAGGAAAAGAATTATATAATCATAATTCATGAAAAAGTTTTCATCTTGAATGGTATACATACCAGCATTACAATTTGCTCATTTCCTACTTACATGGGATGGGGGAGGTATCAGCACAGAGAAAACTGGCAAAAACAAAACATTGAATGTAATGAAATGCCTCTTTCTGGTACAGCCCTGGTGGCTCCATGTAGCTACTCTGCTAAGACTGCTCCAAGATACCCGTCACATCAGTTGCACGAGTTCACTTGGCCTACCAGGGACCAGAGCTATAACCTGACCCCTTCACATAATGTGCAGGGGAGCAAATGACATTCTGCCATTTCACTGGGAAAGCATCCAGAAAGTTTACAGACAACAGTTGGGTTCCCAAGGTTAAAAAAACCAGCGTTGAATGTAATGAAACGCCATTTTCTGGGTGGGACCCGGAGGCTCCCCAGAGCTATCCTGGCTGATATGTAACTATTAGCTTTCTGGCATCAGTCAAAGTGCATGGAGTTCTTGCCTACCAGGAACCACGAGCCAGAACCTGGCTTCCCCTCAGCGAGGCACGAGGACCAATGGCCTATAGAAACCCCCGTGTGGTTGGAAGCATTCTATACCTGCCATCGACCGGGTCTGACACCCAGAACGATAGGCGCCCCAAAACAAACCGCTATTCTGGTGAAAATATTGCTACCGAAAGCTGAACGAGTGGACAGAACTCCCCAAATGAAAACTAGCAAACTAGCACGAGATCATCAAGTCGCCGCGCCGCCGTCTATGCAACCCCCCTCCCTAGGAAGGGGAAGTGGGAGCCCCAGACCCCCCACCCTGGCGAACCAACCTGCAGTTCTTAGGCTGGATGTCAAAAACACACGAAAACACTGCCAACCAGAGGGAGGGAGGGATGCCGGGGAGCCTCCAGGTCTCACCCAGAAAATAGTGTTTCATTACATTCAATGCTGGTTTTCTGGGGGTGGGGGAGGGGTGGGGGGGGGGGAAAGGCCCGTCGGCTCCCCAGAGCTGCCTCACCAAAGATAAAGAAAAGAGGGAAGGGCCCGGGAGGCAGACGCCACATGCCCCAACACAAAAACAAGACCACAGACGAAACGAAAGGACCCTGCAGACGACCCGGGAGACCCGAGCCCCAGAAGAGGAAGAAAGGAAGGAACCCCGGGTAATCCAAAGTGCCCCCATGGCCACAGAGGCCAAGAAGCGCGGAGAACAGCAAAGAGCCACAATCGAACACTACATAAAGAGCACCCTCAGCCCGACCAACAAAGCATCAAGAACCCAAGGACCCCTCCGGAAAGCAGCAAACCCAATTATCGCCAGATAAAAGGAGATGGCTGCAAACTAACAAACCTACCACCAGGACGAAACGAGCAGAAAAACCTCAAGCGTCAGAGGAGAGCATGAAGCTCTCGACCTGACTCCAGAGGCCAACGCTAACAGAAAGAGAGACCTGGAAAAACAACCCAGAACTGCAGTGGCCACAACAAACCGAGGAGAAGAGAGAAAAAAATAGACCACCCGGTCCAACGACCAGGATGGCACCAGAAGCGCACTAGCAGGCCAGAGGTGATACAATGCACGAGACAACATGTGGAATGAGGCAGAAGCAACACCAAAACCAAACACAAGCTGGAGCGACTTCGCCAGCACAGCATGATACAAGGTGATACTAAACGGCAGAAGATGATGGTCCAGGAACAACCACGAAAAGAAAGACAAGACAACTCTATCAGAGACCGAAGTACATCTACGCAGTGATAGGAACCGGAAGGACTGCTAGGAAACTTCATACAACCGCTGAGACGAAGCACACGTGGGAGACCAACAACGAAGCCACCTGTGCCCATACAAGCGACGAGAAACTCAAGACAAAAACCCCAGATACAAGGACTCAAACAAAGTACGAACCAGCCTCATACAGGGCCAGACCGATCTGCAAAAAGAGGCAGAGCCGCGAGAAGACCCTCAGGATCAGACACTGAGCAAGCAGCGCCTGAAACCAAGGCTGGGCCAGCCACCATGGAGCCAGAAGAACAACTCTTCCCTGGTAAGACTCCAAGCGAGCCAGGACCACGGACACCCTCCGAATGTGAACTGCCAGGAGAGCCAACCCGAAAAGTCAACAGACGAGTCACCCGAAGCGACCAGACCCAAAGAGCAAAAGACCGCAAGTAACCCCTCAGTTTAGACAAAGAACCACCAGGGAACAGTCTGAAGAAGCTGGATCATCGATCTGCGAGCGACCCGAATCCTCCGAAGTGACATCCACACAGCTGTGAACACCCACACTGCGCTGTGCAGGAACAAAGGTGGGAATGCATGCGAAGAAGAGCTGCCGGGAAGAAGAGACAAAGAAGCGGTCCGAGCATCCCACACAAGACCCAGCCAAGACCGAACCCGAGAGGGAACCAGACGGGACTACCGCCAGTACCAGGCACCCGGCGAGCTTGGAAAGAACCAAATCTCCGGTGAACAGACATGCAAACCGGTTGGGAGCTCAAACCAGCCAGTAGTTGAGGTAGGCCAGAACCTGAACACCAAACAGAAGCAGTTGGGTCACCACGACCTGAGCCAGGCATGTGAAAAAACGAGGTGCCAGATCCAAGCCGAATGGAAGGCGACGAAAGCGGTAACCTAGACGCCCTACCACAAAACCGAGTCACTCCCTGAACTTCGGATGAATCGGGATGTGCCAATAAGCGTCCTTGAGGTCCAGGGACACAATCCAAGTGCCCAGGTCCAACAGAAGATGGGCCTGGAACAGAGTAGGCATCCAAAGGAGGGGCAAGAAACCCACGGGTTCAGATGGGACAAGACCCAAATGAACCGGAGGTCTGCCCATTACGCGACCGGAAACCAGCGGGAACCCACCTGAGCGACGAGGTTGTTTTGACCACGCACAAGCGAACCCACACCGAGATGACGCGACAGGGTGCAGTAGAAGAGGCCTACCCAGCCAGCCCTGAGCCCCCCCCCCCCCAAAGGAGGAGGAGCCACCCAATGCCACCACAGGCCACATGGAATGACCCAAAAGGCCCACAAACCGTGGAACCAGGCACAAGCGAACAGAGCGAGCCTCCCTCCACCACCCTGTCAAGGGGACAAACCACAAAAGGGCCAACATACGTTACGAGAACCGAAGCGGCGCACAGAGCGATCACTGCGCTGACCAGAAAAGACAGGACCGAAGGCTGTGCCTGCCCCGAATCCGGCACCACAGCCCTACCACGAAGGCAAAAACCCTGAGCCCTGGCACGACCCTTCTGGGAAGCCCCCCATTTCCCACAAGCCTCCCTGGAGAACCAATCAGATGGACACAGGACGGCAACCAGCCAAAGCCGCCAGCAGATACTGCACAACTGCAGACTCGGCAAACAGCAGCAGACAAAAAAGCAAAGACATTTGAAGAGCCAGGGCCCAGAGCGAATTCCAAGGAAGAAGTAAACACTGCCTGCCGACACGCGAGGCAAGAAGCAAAAACTGCAAAACTACATCTTGCAGGAGAGGCGCGAACAGCTTCAACAATGCAGATGACGCACGCACCGCCGAGGGCAACGCACCAGACCCAGAGACAGCCCCAAGCTCTACCCCAACCAACTCAACCCACCAAACACTACCAGTGGAACTACTATGTTATTACTCTGAACAGTAATAACATCAGGAGAGTACAGCCAACAGGCAACATGACGGAGGTAAAAGTGGCGACTGTCACCCGGAGACAAGGGCACAGCAACCAACAATCCCGTACAAGACGGGTTGGAACCCGGAAAACACATTCAATGGTCCACCGAGTCCTGACAAGGGTTTCCAGGGGCCCGTAGCGGTAACAACTACAGGAAGCCCGGGCAGGGTGTTGCTAACCGGTTAAGAAACCCAAAAATAACAAGGGGGTAGAGGACAACACTGAAAACCCCTGCAACGTGTACAATCATGGGGGCCTAGCAGAGGGCCACCAAACACTACCAGTGGAACTATAGCCACACTAGCCAGACCCCCCACCAGGCAAATGAAAATAAAAACAAAAGAAAACCCCCGCAAAAGTACACCATCTCCGTAGGCAACAGGAACCGGTCGCCGCTTTGGTGGCAGGTCGCGCAACACCTTGACGCCCTAACCAGCACAATACCAGTCCCTACCCAGGGCCAAACAAGGGCCCCAAGCCCCAGCTGGCTAAGGGCTGCTGGCAAATGCCGAGCAGCAAGAACCTCTACGGGAATGGTTCCCAAACGCCCCAGGGAAGATAGCCCTGTCACACAGGGGCAGTACTCACAGGGCGCTTAGGGAAGGAAGCCCCTAAGCGCATGCAGCCCTGGTACTGATGAGGAACACCTAGCCACCGCACAACACAACACACGGCAGTGAACGCCACACAAGGCAAACACCGCCTAGGAAACCAAGGCCAGAGAAGCGTCTATCCCGGTTGACATTAGCCTATGAACTGATGCTAGGAAGCCGGCGTGGTGAGTTCTGGGGCTCCCCGCTCCCTCCTCTCGGGGCAGGGAGGGCTGAGCGGACGATCGGTGCGGCAGTTAAGTGTGATATTTGCTTGTTTGCTTGTTTCCTTGGGATTGTAGGGAGTTTCTACCTCTCTGTTCGTTTTTTTGTTTTAGTTTTTTACCATGTGGGGTTTCTTTTGTTTTGCCTACCTTTCTGGGTGCCTAACCCTGGTTGATGGCAGATAAGAAAAACCCCAACCACAAGAGGGTTTTCCAGGGCCATTGCTCCCTGAAACCTCTCTGAAGGGGCCAGGTTCTGGCGCTGGTCCCTAGTAGGTCTGAGCTCCATAGCTGATGTCCCAGTCTAATATAACATACATTAGTCCAATAAGCTCCAGGGAGCCGTAGGGGCTCTCCACAGAAAACATGCTAATATGAAACTACACAAGCTATTACATACATAAAACTTCCAAATATTTTGGAATTTGCTACCCAGTTCCTTCATACACACTTTTCATTTCCAATTATTCTCTTCTGTTGGATTAAAATATAAATAAAAATTAAAACTCAACAGGTGTCAATATAACTTACAGTTTGAGTTCTTGCCAACAACAGATGCAAAATCATCTTTTTTAGCACGTATTTCTAGGGTGGCGGCCTGCAATATGGCCACTACAGCTCCCTGGGCACCAACACCAAGCTGCCAGCCTGAACGCCCTCCAACTAATCTGTTAAACATTAAACTTATACAGTACAGTATTAGCAAAGTCTTAAATATGTTAAGACTGATTGGAAGAACGTACCGGCATATGGAGTTACAAAATATATATACTGATTATACACTGATTACAAGCATAAATATCTATAAGCCTCACTCAAATTCCTGTATGTCGGAAATTTCCAACACCAAATTACTAACCCCCTCATATATCTAGTTAAAATAGTTGTCAGGTAATGTATTACTAATAATACTACCATTACTAACGCTCTCAAAGAGGGAGTATTGAGTAATCCTCACGTCACAAAGGGAAGGTATAGCGTCAGCCAAGCAGCCGATGTACCTATTATTTCCCCTAGTGATTATATATTATTTCCAGTCTACAACATTAAAATACGAAAGCATTAAAGACAATATAATATTAAATAAAGATTACATAAATATTTCCCTCCCCCAGCTGATTATAATATTAGCTGAATTTGGACGCTTCCAGTATCTGGAGAGTGACGCGCCCAGTAAGGCACCAGAAAGCACATGGTCACAGAGGCGTACAGACGTGCATGCTCTTGCTATACGTGACTATATATTTGTGCCTACAATTGGGAGCCAAGGACACACCTGAGCTAGTTCTACGCATCTTCCACAGCCATAGGAAGTGCCTTTTATCCATTTGTGGTTTAAGCTAAAGTGATTACAAGTGCTACAGTACAAGGGGGTTAGGCTATAGGCTACCTAAATAGAACGAGTGAGCATTCATTATTAACTTAATTCTCTCTTTCTGCTCATATGACCCTAGGTTTGTTACAAGTATTACTGGTTAATGCTTTCACAGGTACCCGTGAGAAAGTGGAGATAGCAGCCACGAATTTTCCTACCTAGAAGTGTCCATGACGACACAACAGTTGAGGATACACTCGGTGGCTCATTGTCTCAGAACGGTCGTATGATTGGAGAACCTACTGCTCACCTTAACTATTAAACTGCACATGACATATATATATGATAGGACCCGATGGCACCATAAGTTAAATTTTTTAAACTCGTTCTAACGCTTTCCAATTTTTTGTGCATAATCTAGTAGGCAAACACTCCAACTTTGTCTAATGATCACCAATGTATCTTGAAAAGCAAGAAAATTAAAAATAATTATAAAATTTAATATTGAAAATTTCAGATTTTCAGATCACCTGCAAAAATATTAAATACAGTATCACCAAATGTTCATTAACCCCTTAACTGTTCGGCTTCCATATATGACACCCCCCAGTGCACAGGAAATAAATTCTCTGAAAAAAATTCTTTGTTTTTTTTAAAGTGTCAAAAACCCTTCCCTGAGTATGGATATGTTAACAAAAAATCGAAATTGTATTTACTTTGGCTGCTATGGGGTCCGTAAGTTCGCACGTGACATCATCAATCCTTGGTCGCCCGTGGCGTACGTTCCCGGGGTCAGTAGAGCGCCCGGCTCAAGATGCCACAGTTGCCACGAATATATTTTTGTTCATTTTTTGCGCACAGTTATAAAGATATTTTACTAGTTTTTTCGTGCCAATCCTATGTATAATGAACACGTACACTATATTATGACAGTAAAACATCCGTACTGTCCAAAGACAATGTGTTACGTGCACGACATGTGTACACATATATTGAACATACAGTGGTACCTCGGAATGCGATTGTCCCTGTATGCGAGGTTTTCGGAAGGCGAGCAGTATTTACTCCAAAAATTTGTCTCGGAAGGCGAGGGTTACTTCGGGACGCGAGTTTGTTGATACGCGTACAGGCCGACTTAGCGCGTGGTGGTTCGGCGATCGTCGCCCCTCTGCCCCGCCGCCCCTCAGTTTACCATTGTCTCGCGCTCAGTGACTACCCCCACATCAATTCTTCTCGCGGATTTTCAGTGTTTTGTTGTATTTTTGGTGATTTGTCTATACAATGTTATTATATATCTCACCATGGGTCCCAAGAAAGCCAGTGGTAAGGATAAAGGCCAGAAAGCTCATGTGAGGATGACAATAGAGGAGAAACAAGAGATCATTCGGAAGCATGAGAACGGTACACGTGTTGTTGAACTTTGTAGCAGTACAACAAAGCCACATCAACAATATGCACTATACTTAAGAAAAATAAGATTATGGGTGCTAAAGTGGCAAAAGGAGTACAAAGACCAGAAAGGTCCTCACTGCCTGATGTGATTATGGAAGGGGACTCCCCTTCCAAACAGTAACTCCTCTCCTCCTCCCCCCTCCTCACCATCTTCCATACGCCTACAGCACTCGACAGCAAGGTAAGTAATAACTGGAACGGATTAATTCATTTCCCTTTATTTCTTATGGGGAAATTAACTTCGAAATGCGAGTTTTCGGAATGCGAGGCGTCTCCAGGAACGGATTAAACTCGTATTCTGAGGTATGCCTGTATTTCCCATGCATCATGCTAATTTTTGTATATATGCAATATATATCATATATGTATATATGATGAGATCTGCCCTTTTATGTCTGGCTTGTAGTCTTGTTAGTCCTGTGGCCTTCAACCAACCCTGGTATAAGATTTGGCTGTAATAACCAAATCTTGACATGTTGGCCAGATTTTTGTCACTAAATTGAACTTTGTCCAAAGCAGACATGTTCTTCTGCAGATGAGATCTCCATGCCTGGATACAGTAGTCCAAATAGGGGTGGCTCCAAAGATTTATACAGTTGAATAACTACTTTCTTTTCTTTTAACTATTGGACTGCGTCTACCGAGAAAACTCGGTCGGTGGGAACTGCGCCAACCGAGAAAACACTCATTTTTTCGTACCCATTCAAAATGCGTGCGCGGTTGGTTGTGTACGAAATGGACTCTTAGGACCTCCAGTGAGAGGCAGCCATCTTGGAAAAAATTTCCAGAATGCCCTACTGCTGGTGGCTGGTTTAGTACTGAGTGAGCAACTATGGGTGGTGCATGCGCCTCTGGCTCCCAAACAACTGTCCAACGCGGTGTTGAAAGATCGTGCCCTGTCGGTGAAATTCAAACCTTATTGTTTGAAGAACATAAGGGTCATGACATTGGTGAAGCTAGGCGCAATAAGGACCTAACACAAAGGTCGATTGCAAGTGATACAGCACCTATGAGGACGATACAGCGAGCGTATCTAGTTGTAGCTCTGAGCGTCACCCTTGTCCACCTATGCTATCTCCAATTTATATAGATGATACATAGATGAATCATTTTCTGTGTTCAGTGATGATGCATCTGATTCAAGAAGCACAGATGAAGTGTTAGCAGCTTCCATGGTGGTGTTTTCCATGTACAGTATATTTTGAAGAATAGCTGAACCTCTTCCAGACTGACTGACACTCTTCGAGGGTGGTTGAATCTCTTCCAGAGTGGAACGTTACAAAAAGATCTTTTCAAGACTACTTCACAAATTGATCTTTTTCTATAATCTTTTCAATACTACCTTATGCTTTTTAAGCTTGGCTACATACAACCTACAAGTACTAAAGCCAAAGGTGTACATAAGTGCGTTATTTGCAAGCACACAGAACGAAGAAACAGGAAGCGAAAATCTATCTGTACCTGGTGCAACGAGAGCAAAGTCGCGCTGTGTACCATGAACTACTTCGTTGATTGTTACTCACTTCCAAAGTACTGAGTAATTACCTAGGTGTAGTTACAGGATGAGAGCTATGCTCGTGGTGTCCCGTCTCCCCAGCACTCTTTGTCATATAATGCTTTGAAATTACTGACAGTTTTGGCCTCCACCACCTTCTCACTTAACTTGTTCCAACCGTCTACCACTCTGTTTACAAAAGTGTATTTTCGTACATTTCTCCGGCAGCTTTGTTTCGTTAGTTTAAATCTATGACCTCTTAAAGTTCCGGGTCTCAGGAATTCTTCCCTATCGATTTTATAGATTCCTGTTACTATTTTGAACGTAGTGATCATATCGCCTCTTTTTCTTCTATCTTCTAGTTTTTGCATATTTAATGCCACTAACCTCTCCTCGTAGCTCTTGTCCTTCAGTTCTGGGAGCCACTTAGTGGCATGTCATTGCACCTTTTCCAGTTTGTTGAAGTGCTTCTTAAGATATGGGCACCATACAACCGCTGCATATTCCAGCTTTGGTCTAATAAAAGTCGTGAATAATTTCTTTAGTATTTCTCCATCCATGTATTTAAAAGCAATTCTGAGGTTAGAAAGTGTAGCATAGGCTCCTCGCACAATGGTCTTAATGTGATCCTCAGGTGACAGTTTTCTATCTAGAACCACCCCTAGATCCCTTTGTTTGTCAGAATTCTTTAAAGATTTCTCACATAATTTATAGGTTGTGTGGGGTCTATGTTCTCCAATTCCACATTCCATAACATGGCATTTATTCACATTAAATTCCATTTGCCAAGTGTTGCTCCATATGCTTATTTTGTCCAGGTCGTCTTGAAGGGCATGACAATCATCTAGGCTTCTTATCTTCCCTATTATCTTAGCATCATCAGCAAAATGTTCATGTAATTCTGTATTCCCACTGGTAGATCGTTTATGTAGACAATGAACATTACTGGTGCAAGAACTGAACCCTGTGGTACTCCACTCGTAACATTCCTCCAATCCGATACCTTGCCTCTGATTACGGCCCTCATTTTTCTGTCAGTTAGGAAATTTTTCATCCATGTTAGTAGCTTACCTGTCACTCCTCCAATATGTTCCAGTTTTCACGGGGAATGATGTCCGTGTCTCACAGCATGACGACAGTGGGCCCTCAATATCATGTGTTCGTGGTAGGCCTACGGTAAGTAAATCTGCCTCAGTGCCAAGCATACCCTCGCGCAGCTCCAGCAGCAGCAGCAGACGTAGCCGTGGTTTTGGTGCTCGTGGTGGTGTTGGCCGTGTTGTTAGCGCCAACACTAAACCCCCTGGTGTACTTGTGTGGGAGGATTGCGCCACATTTGTCCCTCAAATACCAACATTTGATGATACCGACGTTGGTGTTACAGCATTATTCCCATATACTGGTGATGATATGGCAGACATGGAATATTTCCAGGCATATTTTGACAACATTTTAATGATGCATCTTGTGACTGAGACAAACACGTACGCTCACAGCCTCATAGACAGTGGCATAATACCTGCCTCACGTCTCATGCGATGAAAGGACACGACAATCGACAAAATGTATGTGTTTCTGGCATGCTGCGTGATGATGAAGCACTCTGAGAAAGCTGTCATCCAGGACTATTGGAACAAAGACAGCCTTGTTCCATCGCCCGTGTTCAACCTGTATATGTCGCGGGATAGGTTCCTCGATTCTCAGGCACCTGCATTTCGAGAATAATGCAAATGAAGACAGACACGACAGACTGCGGAAGGTACGGAAGGTGTTCAGTGACTTGAGAGAGAAGTTCAGGGATTATTTTGTACCTGGATAGAATATAGTTATCGACGAATCACTTGTACTGTTCAAGGGCAGACTGGCATTCAAGCAGTACAGCCCTTCAAAGCGGCACCGTTTTGGACTGAAGTTTTTCGTGCTGTGCGACTGTGAGACTGGTATCGCCCTGGACATGATCTTGTACTCTGGTAAAGACGGCGACATACCAGCTCAAGATGAATACGGGTTCTCCGGCAGTGTCGTAAAAACCCTGATGGAACCGTTGCTGAACAAGGGACATATACTGTTCACCGACAACTATTACACCAGCCCCCTGTTGACCAGATACCTCCTTGCCCACAACACCGGCGTATGTGGCACTGTGAAGGTCCTCAGGAAGGAAATGCCAGTGTTCGGTGTAGGTATAGCAATGGGTGAGTGCCAGCTGCACAAGTGTGACAATATGCTGTCAGTGCCGTGGAAGGACAGACGCGAGGGGAATATGCTGACGACGATTCACACTGGTGCCATGTTGGACAGTGGGAAGGTCCACTTTCAGACGCGCAACCCCACATATAAGCCGGACTCATAGACTATAACATGAACATACACCTCGACGATAAATGTGACATGATGCTTGGTGTTGTGGAGTGCGTGCGCAGGTCTGTGAAGTGGACGAAAAAGTTCTTCTTCCACTTCATGGATGTTGCAGTGCTCAACTGCTTCAATATATATCTAGTAAAGTCCGGCAGGAAACCGTCTATACGTACCTTCAGTGCCAGCGTTGTGTCACAGCTGCTGGTAAAGTATGGCAAGGAGGGCTCCGTTGTACCATGCGGAGTGCAAGCAAAAATGCCACACGCAGCTCCAGACAGACTGAGGGGTAATGAGAACTTCGGGGTACACATGCTCGAGTATATGCCAGGCACAGCATCATGGGAGAAGGGTAAATGTGCGTGCATAGTATGCAGGAACACTACCCGCAAAGAACAAAAGCGAAGATGCATCAGCGCCTGGTGCGTGGAGTGCAAGGTGCCACTCTGCCCCGTTGACTGTTTTGCAGCATATCACACACTCGCGGAGTGTGTGTATAGTGTGATACTGTACAGTGTGTATATATAATGTAATTACTGTATAAATATATAAGCATGACACATTGAAGATATGTGCAGGATAAGTGTACTTGTTTGTGATGCACGTAACACAGTGTCGACGGACGGTACGGATGTTCTACTGCCATAATATAGTGTACGTGTTTACCATACATTGGATCGGCATGTAAAATCTAATAAATTGTATTTGGAACTGTGCGCAAAAAATGAACAAAAATATATTCACGGCAGTACGCGCATCCCGCCCTGGGCACCCTGCTGGCCCCGGGAGCTTACGCCACGAGCGCACGGAGAATGATGACGTCACGCACCACCTTACGGACCCCATAGCAGCCAAAAGTAAGTACAATTTCGACATTCCGTTGCTATACCCATATTCAGGGAGGGATTTTTGACACTTTCAAAACAAAAAAGAATTTTTTCCCTTAGAATTTATTTCCTGTGCACTGTTGGGTGTCATATTTAGAGGCTGCGCAGTTAAGGGGTTAAGGTTCGTTTGATTATTTTTAGGGTTTAGTTGGCTTTTTTTTACTGCAGCTCCCACTTGTTGTGTAATTCAATGACTGGTGGATTCTGACTCCAGGTACTTTTCTTCTGCTATAATGCAGTACATTTGATTTGATTTCATTAGTAGAACAGATTTGATAGTTGTTATGGGCATTGTTATGCTCAACATGCAAGGTCTTGCATTTTCAATATTAAAAAGCATTTGCAAGTCTTCAACCAATTATGAAATTCATGAAAATCTCTGTGTAAGGCCTCGCTATCACTTTTTTTCCCACTTTATAATAGATTTTAGTGTCATGTGTAAATCTTATGATGTTGTTTGTAATATTCTTATCTATGACATTATGTACATGACAAAAAAAAGGTTTGCCCCAAGATGAAATCATGCAGTACCCCACTTACCTCATTTCTCCAGTAAGATTCCTTTCCATTTAGATGAGCCCTTGCTATCTTTGTTACCCATTGCTTTATTATCCATTCAAGTACTTTACCATTTATTCTATCGCGTAATTTCCTTGTCATTCTTTTATGTGGTATCATATCAAAAGCCTTAGAGAAGTCCCTGTACAGTATTACATCTACTGGAAGTCCATTGAATAGCTAATGTGAATAGCTGCTTTGAATAGCTACTCTTCAAAAAGTGAGCAGGTTTGCAAGGCAGGTTTTATTTATAACAAAATCATGTTGCATTGCTTTTACTAGGTTGTGCACTATGAGATGGTGAATGAATCCCTCCCTGAGGATTCTCTCCACGAGCATGCAGATATCTAAGGTTTGGCCGATCGATAACAACACACACTAAACGCTACTTTCTTACAATGCTTACTTGGCTAAACTTGGAGAAACAGCTGGAGCAGGTCTAACATATGTCCAGAGGGATGATGCAACTGCCCAGATGTTAGCCGGAGTCTGGGTGACAGTTCGGTAAAAGAAGTTCCCGCCAAGGCTTATTGTGCCACCTCCCTAAAATTAAAAGTATAGTACTATAAAGTAGCATCCTACTAAAATGATCTAATTGGGGCCAAATCCATTCTGTTAAACTGGGCATACCTCTACTCTGCTAGACACAATTTGATTAATGACATTTAAGCTCTACTCTACATAAACTTGTTTTCAATCTAATCATACTACTGGTATTTTCATTAAGAAGTAAATGTTCATACCTGTTTGACTCATTGATTTGTCGATGAGCCTAGTTAGACTATGTTGATGCAAATAATTTTATTTATATTTCACTGCATGTGATTAGTAGCTTTATAAAAAATACAAATACCTGTATAGTACTAGTACTGTACTTACAAGTAAACATTGAGATCAGTCCATATGTATTAGAATTTTCAGAAATCAAATAATATTTTATATATAATATTTTATTATTTTTTAAAATTGTATTACAGTATTTAATAAATAAATTAGTATTTAGACAATGAGTCACAATAACGTGGCTGAAAATGCGAAGACTGAACCACACACACCAGAGGACGAGACGATAACATTTTGGTCCATCCTGGACCATTATCAATTTGACATGGAAGTGAGGGAGGCTATCCCCCCCCTTTTTCTTTTTCTTTCTCCTCTTATTCTTATGTTCCCATACTTATACCCATTATTACCCCCCCTTCTTTCTTACACCCCTTTTTTACACCCATCCCATCTGTACCTTTTGCCTTACTCTTATCTTCCTCTAGGAATTTCCTCCTCCTCACCTCTCTCTCTTGCATTCTAGTTCCCTCCTTGGTCCAAACCAGGCTACTGGATATAGCCGGCTATGGATATTACAGGCTCATGAAAGTTATTCCTCAGTTCGCCAAATATTTCTTAACGGTATTTTGTATTGTTCTCGTGTTTGCTCTAAGCAAAGATCAGTGGACGAACCGTCAGATGGCTCCTGTGAACATCGTGGAGACACGATGTGGAGACATTCGCCCTACAAGTATTACAGTCGAAGGAGGGACCTAGAAGGTGATTGATGATACAGCGAGTAAAAGAAATGAGTGACTGTTCCCGACAGGTTGACACGCCCCGCGTAATTGGTGAGCTTGGATTCAACATTATTCGGAACGTTGGTCGACCTGATGGTAGACGAGCAACACACTCCTCAGTAATGTACAGATGGTCCTGGTGGGAATACGTGAGGGCCTAATAAGCCATCATGCCGTAAGTACGTATTTCTGGACTGTCCCCATTACCCCAAATCATCAGTCCCCTGTATTCCAGGATCCTACCTCCCTGAGGGACCACCAGATCGGTGCAAGAAATGCCTTCTGCACTCAATCAGCAGCGGTACCACGATGCAGGGAAATGTGGTCTGTTGGCCCCAGTTCATCGCTCCTCTACAGAACCTCGATGCTATTGACTAAGCCGTGTAAGGTAACTGAGCTCCTGACAAGAACTTCAGTCGCATCATTGCCCAAGATATTACTTCCCTCTATGCCAGGCCTTGAGGTTATCTTGAGATCTTGAGGTTATCTTGAGATGATTTCGGGGCTTTAGTGTCCCCGCGGCCTGGTCCTCGACCAGGCCTCCACCCCCAGGAAGCAGCCCGTGACAGCTGACTAACACCCAGGTACCTATTTTACTGCTAGGTAACAGGGGCATTGGGTGAAAGAAACTCTGCCCACTGTTTCTCGCCGGCGCCTGGGATCGAACCCAGGACCACAGGATCACAAGTCCAGCGTGCTGTCCGCTCGGCCGATCGGCTCCCTTGGCATCTTGGTTGAGGCAGTTCATCAGGCAGGACGTTCTCTTCACCGCAGTCCATGATCTGCGTACGTCCTATGGGCGAGACTGCACAATACTAATTTGTTTTTTTTCTTTCAGGACCAAACCAAATTCCTTTTGGTGGGGAGGTGTTACGGACTCGTTACCCTTGTCAGGGGGTAGAGTGGCAGTTCCAGCGCCATCTACGAGTCTGCACCCGAAATGCCCGGGAATCGTACGTAATATGGGCAATGCCATCTGGTGGTGGCTATCTAAAACTTGCAAATGGCTGAAGATTCCTGCTTTGGTCAACCAGAGGGGTCATGGTGAGTAACCTCTGGTGAGGTGATACATCAAGACCAGTGCCACCTAGTGTGTCCTACAGAGCACAATGTCAACTCCCCAGTGAGTAGTGGTATTTCCTAGTTTCGCCAGTATCGGCTAGGTCATTGATGACGTTTTTGTGTCCACAGAGGTGACGTCTGGGGGCAGCGATACTAGAGACGGCAGTTCATCTTGGGCAGTCCACAGAGTCTCCCTACAGGGTCCTGGAAACGACCAAGTAAGCCGCCGCCGATGAAGCAGTGTGGTAGCTGCTAGTGGTTTAGTGTTGAAAAGATCGGCGTACCTTTGGGACTGGCTTAAGGGAGAGACTGACGACAGGGAGGTGCCTGTTAAGTAGTGCTGCTAGCTGGTTGCTAGAGACTGCTGCCAGGGGATCGCTACCCTTGTATTGGTTTGAGATCCCGCTCAGCGTGTGGCTGAGGTACTCTGCCAGCGAGTAGTTGGAGAGCGGTTGTTGGGGTACAGGCACCTCGTGAGACTGTCAGTGGGCTGGCCCACGTACAGGTGAACTCGCCGGTGTTCTTCCCAGTAAGGTTGGATATGCTACTGGATAGTGAAGAAATACTGGGGATTGATGAACTCTGCACGTAAGCACGATTGATATCCTGGGCGAAAGGATTGTACATAGGTGTAGTAATAGCCTAGCTGTTCTTTATATATTATTTAAGGTGACAGTGTACATATATATACTTAACGGTGGTGGAAAGATATTTAATACTTTGACAAAAGGAACAGTGTTTTATTCATCCCCTCCTTTTTTTATGCACTACATAGCCACTTTCTTGAAAGCGTACTACCGACTTGGGGTCGGATACTATCAGTTTGGTTCTACCATCAAAGAACCCGGTTGCGACCCATTGTGGCCGTAACAATAATCTTCTAAATTACTAACTTTTACCTAAGGACTGTTAATACCGTACAGATGTGTTGGAGGACGGCATACTGTACTTGAATATACAGTACTGTAGTATAAATTAGGATGATGTAACCATCATCATACAAGTAGGAGAGCATTAACTTTCATCATACTGTTCATCCAAGTACAGTATTGCAGCAACTCATTAGCCGGTATACAACATATCCACATCCTGCCAGTTTAAGATTTATTTCTCAAACAATTCTCAAATTAGTTTTCCAAAAATACTAAGTACTTACCACTACTGTACTTTCACAGTAACAGCACCGTCTAAATTTACAGTGTAGTTTCACATGACAAAAACACAGCCCTAAAATATCTAGAAACTTCTCTACCTTTATAACATATTGAATTTAGTGCTTTGGTTATCTTGAGGTTATCTTGAGATGATTTCAGGGCTTTAGTGTCCCCGCGGCCCGGTCCTTGACCAAGCCTCCACCCCCAGGAAGCAGCCCGTGACAGCTGACTAACACCCAGGTACTGTACCTATTTTACTGCTAGGTAACAGGGGCATAGGGTGAACGTAACTTTGCCCATTGTTTCTCGCCGGCGCCCAGGATCGAACCCAGGAGCACAGGATCACAAGTCCAGCGTGCTGTCCGCTCGGCCAACCGGCTCCCCTGGTGCTCACGAGTAAAATACAATACAGCATGACCAACATGAAAATAGTTATTATGAAGTAATTTAGTTGATGAAATCACTTGATCATTATATTATGACATTTACATGGTAAAAGGATATGTCATTAACATACATACAGGCAACACAACAATGTCATACCAAACTGTCACCCCACAACTAAAATAAAAAGGTGAAATAAATCAGTACCATGTAGAAATTTGAGTCAAGACACACAAAAGCACAAAACCAGACTATTCACAAAATAATTTTCCCTCCATTTTAGGCATCGTTGTACTCTACAAACATAATTGTATGATTATATTGTTGCATATTCATACTATTATGAATTACACACGTAACTGGATAAAAATCACATCGTACACAAGATGATTCACCAATGAATTTTGAAACCTACAGTATTAAACTTAACATAATTCAACCCAACCCAATCTAACCTATACCAACCTATCCTAATCCAAATAAGCCCAATACAGGCATACCTCAGAATAAGAGTCTAATCCGTTCCTGGAGACGCCTCGCCTTCCGAAAACTCGCATTCCGAAGTTAATTTCCCCATAAGAAATAAAGGGAAATGAATTAATCCGTTCCTGACTACCCCAAAAACCCCACATCAAACTAAATTTTTATACCTAATTCATCTAAATAAACCTACAAAACTGTGTTCCAGTTATTACTTACCTTGCTGTCGAGTGCTGTAGGCGTATGGAAGATGGTGAGGAGGGGGGAGGAGGAGAGGAGTTACTGTTTGGAAGGGGAGTCCCTTCCATAATCACATCACATAACCCCATGCCTTGTAACACTATGGATACCACTTCTCTTTCTAAATTTTTCAAACCAGCCCCTGCTTGCCTTAAACTCTTTCTTATCTGCATCACTCGTTGCAGGGGTATTCTTTAGAAGGTCTTCGTGCAACACCCTGGCTTTCTCACAAATAATGGCCTCCGAAACACTATCACCCCTCAACTCCTTGTCGTGTATCCAAATTAATAACAACTTTTCCACTTCTTCAAGTATTTGTGGTCTTTGTGCCGTTAATGTTCTTACTCCTTTTGCCACTTTAGCACCCATAATCTTATTTTTCTTCTTAAGTATAGTGCATATTGTTGATCTGGATTTGTTGTACTGCCTACAAAGTTCAACAACACGTGTACCGTTCTCATGCTTCCGAATGATCTCTTGTTTCTCCTCTATTGTCATCCTCACATGAGCTTTCTGGCCTTTATCCTTACCACTGGCTTTCTTGGGACCCATGGTGAGATATATAATAACAAATTGTATAGACAAATCACCAAAAATCCAACAAAACACTGAAAATCCGCGAGAAGAATTGATGTGGGGTAGTCACTGAGCGCGAGACAAT